GTCTGGGACTTGAACCATGGTCAACTACGTGGGAGTCCAGTCACATAGCCATTACGCTAACTGGTGGTCCCTCTTTTTTTTTTTTTTTCGTAGAGAGATTTTTGCTATTGGGTGCATATACTCACTGGAGAGACAGAGAGAAGCAGAGAGACAGAAAGTGGGAAATCACTCCCATGAGGGGATGGCTATGCCACAGTCGCTTTTATATTCTCCTCTCGGGATTTTGGGTATGTAAACATACATGCCTGGTGTGAGTTTTAAGCTGCCAGGTCTGGGACTCAAACCACAATCATCAACTATGTGGAAGTCCAGCGATATAACCGTTACACACCTACTGATCTCTTTATTTATTTATTTAGAGTTTTTTTCTATAGAGCACATGCACTCACCAGAAAAACAGAGAGACAGAAAGTGAGAGATCCCCCCCAGGGGGGACGGCCAGACCACAGTCCTTTTTTCTCCATTCTCCTATCGGGATCTTGGGCATGCATGCACACGCACCCGGCGTGAGTTTAAGCTACTGGGTCTGGGACTCGAACCTGGTCGACTACATGGGAATCCAACAATGTACCATTATGCCATCTGCTGGTCCCAGATCTCTTTACTTTTTAAAATATCAGTAAACTATAGTGCTATCTGTACCCTACACTAATTCACTGTGTCTGGATTGCCCTTTAGCTCCGAAGCTGAAAATAGAGATGTCAAACCTTGAGAGTGTTTATATAGTCTCCCCTACAAGCAAAGACATGTAGGTCTAGGGCCCAGAGGAGCACAGCTCAGTCTTGCCTATATCCATGGATGTAGCATTGTGGCATGACTACAGGCATGATCATGCTGCCACAAGGGGCCATGAGGTGTTGTTCCTCATCACCCTTGCCTACATCTCTTCAGCCCTGTTTAGTTTCTTGTATTTCCTCTTTCATTAAACTGTCCTTATAGTCACCATCTCCCCAGTTATATCTACAATCTGATCTCTCTGAAGACTTTGCTACTTCATGTGCCAGTATGTCCTTCCTCTTCTGATTTTGGTCCCCTACCTTTCTGCATGGTCCATGCTTTCTCTGTTTACCTACTCAGGTTTGTTACTGCTTTCACTC